TAATTCTTTTCCGCGGGGCACTAGCCTGGTGGGAGTTGACGCAACCACGTACGTGGTCACGTGACGACGGTCCCTTCTTAGTGTACGGGGGGATCGCGTTAACCCTGGAGGTTTGCGATCATGTAAGATAACGCCTGCACACAAAAAAAAAAAAAGATATTGCTGTCTCTTTTTTTCTTCTTGCCTGTACTTTGCGTTTTGCTTTAAAGACAGGCTAATTCATAAAGAAACATTGTTTTCGCAAAATCTTATCTAAAGAGCCACCTACTCCCCCCTTCCTTCCCCCCCCCCCCCCCAAATTCGCAATGCAATGGACCCGCCATCACGTAACCAATCAGTTGTATTGATTGCCGCTAGACAAGCACCACTAAGAAGAAAAAAAAAAGAAAAACACGCGTGGTGCGTTCCAGCTGAGTGTGATGTGTGATTATGACAGTACGTGAACCGACTTTTGGGAGTAGAAAAGAGGAGAGGACACCCTGGAAAAAAGATCCAGGGACAGTGTGCTGCAAATGTGTCACCGTCAACAACGGCAGAAAAACGGATCGTTCATTGTGCGTCCAGCTGCGCGACCCTTAAAGCGACACTGATAAAGTATTTATGTTAGCCGCGGTTTTTGTTTAGACGTGACCTATAAGAGCCCTACTACACAAAACGCAATTTGTGTTTCTAAATTCGTTTTCTTTCCTCCCGAAAACAGCTGGTCTAAAATTGGCTGGTTTCAGTAGCGTTCACTTTCTTCCCCATGGTCACGTGGCGTTCAAACTACGTGCACCAAATACATTCAAAGTCGCGGGTCACCTAAGATACACATTCAATGTTAAAAAAGAAGAGAATATGAACCCCATTTTTGTTGCCTTCAAAATAAGTGCAAATACGTTGATCGAAAAAATAAAGGTTCCACATGTCACAGGAAGTACATGAACAGCTCCTTGTAAATATGGCGACGTACTGCTGGCTGGACGACGGGATGGAAGTGCACGACGAACCAACATTGCAATGGAAGTGGGGCCAATACTTCGGAACTGTCGTTACTGGTACCAGACAATTGATCTTCAAGTGCAGAACATGGAACGTAAGGGATGTAAGTGGGAAACAATGGCGCGACAAACTGTGCACGCAACTTCGTCGTCGGCTTCACACGCCGGAGGAGCGGAAAAAACAAAAACAACGCTCTCGGGTGTCGCCACGTGACATCCGGCCATGAGCTTCCGTGCTCGTGTTTCGGTTTCGAGCAGTTGAGTTTTTTTTTTTTTTTTTTTTTGCCTTTATTAAAAGTACACGTGACTCTGCAGAAAAATATTGATTGGGTAGTCTCATGACACCATATTAAATCGTATGGCAAAAAAATAAATAATACAACATTTTTTGGGAAAGTAAGTGTTTTTTAAAAAGTGTTGCACGCGGATGAATTTTGGATATGTCCAATACGTAGTCGGTGCAAAATTCCAGATTCTTCAACTGACCGAGGGCGGTATTGTGCCACGCGCGGAGACAAAGTATAGTCGTTGTGAACGATTAGTAAAACAGTACAATTTTTAAAGCCGCGACACACTACTCGTACATCATACAAAAAATGCGAATTTCGCACAAACATGATGAAAATATTTTTTTCCGGGCACGGCTTAAAAATTTTCCAATCATATTTACTTCACGGATGTGTATGCTAGTGCCACTAAATAAGCTAGACTTCAGAGTTATGGAACGTGGCCATATTGTGCCTTAAAAGCATGGTTGCCAGTTACCTGAAGCTTTTACTGAAATCACAAGAAACGCTTTCGCGTGCTCCACAAATCTTTAAACAGTTTGCAACAAAGGAAAGAAATATTACACGAGCTTCCTAACACCGAATCTAATGTTGAGGAAGTCGCACTTTTGAATTATGATGATCGGCCGTTGCGTCTGCTCTGCACAAGCACCAAAATGGCGGCGCCCACAACCATGTCGGAGAACAAAGTGCTGATAATCTAAGCGCAGCTCATTTAGTGGCTTTAGTGTATGCCAAAGACGGTCCACAGATGACCAATGTCAAAGTCATACAAGGAAGAAACACGCCTCGGGTGGTTTCCGGAAACCGTCTTGTGTACGATATATATATATTTTTTTTATTTATTTATTTATAAATACTGTTAATCCTTGTCAGGGTCATTACAGAGAGGGAAAAACAACAAAACACATTACCTAACATCTTTCACAACAATAGTACACGTCAAGTAGGCTCTCAAATTCACGAACATTTTCCCTGTCAACAATATAACTAGGCAATGTATTCCAGGATTCAATCACACCAGGAAAAAATGAGTACCGAAAAACATCAACACGGGCATTGAACGGCTCAATGGCTAAGTTGTGATTTAATCGGTCACTTCGTTTACATGGTAGTTTTACATAGCTGTCCTTATTAATCTTAATTTGTCCATGGATGAGCTGAAAAAACAATATCAGTCGATGTTTTTGTCTCCTTGTCTCCAGTAGCTCTAAGTCGCATGAGTCTAACATTGATGTAACCGAATCTGTCCATTTATATTTAGCACAAACAAAGCGGACAGCTAATCTTTGAATTCTTTCTAATTTGGACTTCAAGACTTTCTGATGTGGACTCCAGACAGCCGATGCATATTCTAGAATTGACCTCACGAATGTTTTGTTGGCAATTAACTTAACGTTCTTTGTTGCGTTGTGCAATTTTTTCCTTAAGAAGTACAATTTCTTTGAAGCCTTAGAGCACACGTTTTCCACATGTTTTCGCCAGTTTAGATCATGGGTTATGGTCACTCCTAAATATTTAAAACTATTTACATTGTTCAAGAAGTTATTTCCAATGTTATACCTAAAACAAAGTGCACTCTTTTTTTTAGTTATATGAGTGAATGTGGATTTAGTGTAGTTAATTTCCATGTCCCACTTTTCACACCACATGTTCAAAGCCTGAAGGCTACGATTGATTTTAATTTGCTCATTCACATTTGTGACTACCGAATAAAGTAAACAATCGTCGGCAAAAAGCTTCATTTCAACGCCTGGCTCTACAATGCTAGCAATATCGTTAATGTACAACAAAAATAATAAGGGTCCCAACACAGATCCCTGTGGGACACCAGAAAACACCTCCAACGAACAAGACATACAATCGTCAACACGCACCACCTGCCTGCGATTGATCAAATAAGCCTCAATCCATTCTAATATTGTAGAGCTAATACCGATTTGTCGAAGTTTGAAGAGTAGTTTATTATGAGAAACCTTATCAAAAGCTTTTGCGAAGTCTATACAAATAACATCTATCTGCCTCTGGTCGTTTATTGCTAACGAAAAATCGTGAATAGTTTCGATTAGCTGCGTAACAGTGGAAAGATTGCTTCGAAACCCGTGTTGATGCGGGTAAAGCAACTGGTTCTCTTCAAGAAAAATAATAATATGTTTTGCTATATTGTGCTCCAGAAGCTTACATGACACAGAGGTAAGAGACACGGGGCGATAATTATTCACGATTGCTCGGACTCCGCCTTTAAAAATAGGTATTACGATTGCACTACGCCAATCTTGTGGTAGTGAGTGAGTTTGCAAAGATTTCTGAAAGATAGCTTCTAGATAAAATGACACCCACTCGGCATATCGTTGCAAAAATGCAGTCGGTATTTCATCAGGCCCACTAGCCTTCTTTACATCCAACTCTAGCAACTGCTGAAATACGCCCTCCCGAGTTATTGAAAAATCTTCCATGCAGCACGGGAATGAATTAAATTGTTCACCGTCATAGCTATTACCATTGTCTTTCGAAAAAACAGACTGAAAAAATTCATTGAAGCAGTCTGCTATTTCCTTCCGTTCTGTAACCGTCTTGGTCGCGGTTTGAACATGATCGATGCTTTCTTTCTTTTCACTAAAAAAACGCCAAAATCTTTCTGGCGATGTTTTCAGGAAGTTGCCAAGTCTCCGATTAAAGAACTGTTGCCTGGATTCATTTAATGCGGTTTTCAAATTACGACGGACGTGAGATATCTGGTCTTTACTATCTTTTCCTTTCCGTAATCTATTTATTTTACGCTTCATGTGAATAATCTTACGATTGATCCACGGGTTTTGTTGTTTTGTTTTTTTAAACCGAGTCGGAATAAATCTGTTTACACAATGATTTATAACTCCTTTAAAACGCTGCCACAGTTCCTCCACGGACTCACAATCGCAGGCAAGCTGGAACTGGCTAAATGAACATTCCAAAAAATCGATTACAGAAGTGTCATCCGCTTGAACATAATCTTTGATTGGAATAGGAACAAAGGGGCGCTTACGATTTCCTATACTGTGCAATATGTCCATAGCAATCATCTTGTGATCTGATATTCCTTCTTCAACGGAGATTGTGTAATCACCCACTCTCTGGGATATAAACAACAAGTCCAAGAGTGACCGGGACTCAGGAGTTACTCTCGTTTCCTCGTTCACAATTTGCCTTAGATTGTGAGAAATCAATATTTCCAACAATATTTCAGCACTGGAAGTCTCCACGTGCCCAGGGGACAAAGCTTCCCAATCTATGTGAGGTAAATTAAAGTCACCGGTCAGTATTAATCTTGTAGTACTTTTCACATGAGCGCACAAGAACAAGTTCAACTTATCCAAAAACTCTGGCTGAGTAACAGGTGGCCTGTACACTACACCAACAAGATACACATTGTTCGCAAAAGTAATTCTACACCACACTGTTTCGTTAAGATTGCAATGAACCAACACAGCCGACACAGAGTTTTTAACTATAATAGCAACACCGCCACCACGAGAGTCTCTATCCCATCTGAACATTTGGTAACCAGGAGGAATAATGCAGTTATTAGGCACATCCTTGTTCAACCATGTCTCTGTTAATAACACAACGTGAGGACTTCGTGCTAATAAAAGATATTCTAAGTCTGAAGTTTTATTGGCGATACTGCGCGCGTTAAGTGCTAGAATGCGTAGCTATGCACCTGTGGAAGTGCCTTGGGAATCAAGACGACTATCTAAAGCTGGAGATGACCGTGTACCACCTGAGGCGTCATTTTGGCGATATTCGTGACATAGGCACCGCTCATTTTGGCCATGGTCCCATACGTAAAACTGGTCGTTTACTTTCAGTTTGTCATGGACCAAGGTGACCCTTTTGCCATTGTTCCTGTCAGCTGAAGCGCTTGCCCACAGCTTTTTACGCACTTCCACTATTTCTTTCGGATAATCATTGCTGATCCTAATTTGGCTTCCTTTTAGCTTCCGGCAGTTCCTCAGCACCCGCTCTTTTTCCCTTGAGTCATAAAATCCTAGAATTACAGGCCTAGGACTTCCTGGCTTCTTCTTGCCTAAGCGATGTATCCTTTCTACCGTCTGTACTTGAACTCCTAGCGTTTCCCGAAAGAGCGTGTCTACAACCGCCGCTTTCAAGGTCGACTCGGATTCCCCATTCTCCTCAAGAAGACCGAATACTAAAAGGTTGTTCCGTTGGCTTCGGGTTTCAAACTCAATCAGCTTTTCAGCTTGTTGCCGAACAAGGTTCTCTAGACTGTCTATTCTCCTGTTCAAGTCCTTAATTACTTCAACATAATCAGTCAATTTATCAGTCTTTGTGTGCAGTTTTGCAATTTCTTCATTTATAGCGCCCAATTTACAGTCGGACGTCGCCTGATTCTCTATAATCAACTCCAACAGTTCAGTCGTCTTAGGCCCTGGGTTCTGCTCAACGTCACCCGACATAACCAGTAACAAAATCATCGACCAGCAATCACGCATGGTCACCACCCGTGACGCATATTGTCACGGGTGGTGACCAAAAATAACAAATAAACAGGAAGAAATAAACGTTTAATGTGGCGAACTTGTGCCAAAAATAAAAGAGTACAAAAGATAATAATAGAGCGTCGCGGGCGTCGAAGTCGGCGTGGTAGCAGAGTCGAACGCTGGGGCTAGACTGACTCCGCTCGCCTTTCGGAATCCCTTATGTACCCTCGTGGGTTTCTGGATCGTTGGGCGTAGAAGGTTCGGCGCGTGGAACATTCTAACCTCGAATCAGCAAGACGGTTCTCGAATTCACCAGAACCTTACATTACAGTGTCAACAAAAATGCGCCTCCGCGGCCAGGAATCGAACCCTGGCTTTCAGCGTGGGAAGCAAGCGCGATAACCGTTAGGCCACGCGCGCGCTGCCTGCTTGGCCAGCTGCGCGCGCGGCATTACTCCCCCCTTTAAAAAGTGCATCGTCCCGATGCAATCGGAAAACAAAACAAATAAAAATAACGGTAAACTAAGAGTCATTTGGAACACATAAGGTCCACAGTCCTATCGAGCGTAGTACGGCTTCAGTCGCACGACGTGGACGACTTCCGGACGTGGAGGGCGGCGTGACGAAGTCCGTGTTCCGTCGGGCATCACTTCGTAGTTCAGATCGCCGAGTCGACGAAGCACTTTGTAGGGTCCAAAGTATCGTTTCAGCAATTTCTCACTGAGGCCACGGCGACGGATGGGCGTCCATACCCACACCCTATCTCCGGTCTGGAAGTGGACGTCCCTGCGACGAAGGCTGTAGCGGCCGGCGTCGACGCGTTGCTGGTCTTGAATCAGGAGTCGGGCGAGCTGGCGAACTTCTTCGGCGCGTTGAGCAACCGCCTGGGCGTCGTTGCTCTCGTTGTCAGATGGCTCATGGGGCAGCATGGCGTCCAGCATGGTCGTTACCCTCCGACCATGTACCAGCTGGAAAGGGGTGAATCCAGTGGTCTCTTGAACCGCCGTATTGTAGGCGAACGTGACGTAGGGCAGCACCTCGTCCCACGTCTTGTGCTCTACGTTGACGTACATAGAGATCATATCGGCGATTGTCTAGTTGAGTCGCTCCGTCAGCCCGTTGGTCTGCGGGTGGTAGGCAGTTGTACGACGATGGCTGGTGTGACTGAGTCGGAGGATTTCTTGGGTCAGTTGTGCCATAAACTATGATCCGCGATCTGTAATCAGAACTTCTGGAGCGCCGTGCCGGAGGACGATGGACTCAATGAAAAACTTGGCAACTTCCACAGCAGTCCCCGAAGGAAGAGCTTTCGTTTCGGCGTACCGCGTGAGATAATCTGTGGCGACGACGATCCAGCGGTTCCCCGACGTCGAAGGCGGAAAAGGACCAAGTAGATCCATTCCGATCTGCTGGAAGGGTGCAGTTGGAGGAGAAATAGGCAGCAGGAGTCCGGCCGGCCTCGTCGGAGGTTTCTTGCGTCGCTGGCACTCGTGGCATGATCGTGTGTACAGGTGGACGGTCTTGGGGAGCTTGGGCCAGTAATACTTTTCACGAATACGGGCCAGTGTCCGGCTGTATCCAAGGTGTCCGGACGTCGGGTCGTCGGGACATGCTTGAAAAATCTCCCCTCGAAGGTCGGTCGGGATTACCAGCAGCCACGGCGAGTTGCTGTCCCCGAAGTTCTCTTTGTAGAGTACACCTTGTCGAATGGCGAAGGTCGGCACGGCTCGTGAGAAAACACGGGGTACGGTACCGCCGCGCCCTTCTAGGTGCTCGATTAAGGCTCGCAGCTCCGGATCGTCTCGTTGACGTCGTACCATGTCATCGGTGTTCACTGCCCCTAGAAAGCACTCGTCATCATCGTCGTCGCTGCTGCCGGAAGGTGTTTCGACAGGGGCCCTGGACAGGCAGTCAGCGTCGCTGTGCTTGTGTCCTGACTTGTAAACCACAGTCATGTTGAACTCTTGTAGCCGGAGGCTCCATCGAGCGAGGCGTCCTGACGGGTCCTTGAGGTTCGCAAGCCAGCAGAGCGAGTGGTGGTCCGTGACTACGCGGAACGGGCTTCCGTACAAGTACGGACGAAACTTCGTGATTGCCCAGACGACCGCAAGGCATTCTTTCTCAGTCGTGGAGTAATTTCTCTCTGCCTTGGACAGTGTCCGACTTGCGTAGGCGATGACTCGTTCGGTGCCTTCTTGTACTTGAACTAGTACCGCGCCAAGTCCTGCGTTACTTGCGTCAGTGTGAATCTCGGTGTCCGCATCCTGATCGAAATGTACAAGAACCGGAGGCGTCTGGAGTAGTCGCTTCAGCTCGTCGAATGCCTGCTGCTGTTCCTCGGCCCATTCGAACCTCTCGGCGTCCTTGGTGAGGTTTGTGAGCGGTGCGGAAATCCGTGCGAAATCCCGAACGAAGCGACGATAGTAGGCGCAAAGTCCAAGGAATCTTCGCACGGCCTTTTTGTCTGTCGGCGCTGGAAATGACGCGACGGCGCGAGTCTTCTCAGGGTCTGGGCGCACGCCTTCGTTGCTAATCACATGACCTAGAAACTTCAGTTCGTCATAGGCGAACCGACACTTTGACGGCTTGAGGGTGAGTCCGGCGGTCCGTATGGCTTGAAGAACAGTTCAGAGTCGTCGCAAGTGCTCGTCGAAGCCGCTGGAAAACACCACGACGTCATCGAGGTAGACCAGACAGCTCTGCCACTTCAGTCCTGCCAGTACGGTGTCCATAACACGCTGGAAAGTTGCTGGCGCCGTACATAGTCCGAAGGGCATTACCTTGAACTCGTACAGCCCATCCGGCGTGACGAAAGCTGTCTTCTCTCGGTCCCGTTCGTCGACTTTGATCTGCCAGTAGCCGCTCTTCAGGTCCATCGATGAGAAGTATCGAGAGTGGCGCAGCCGGTCTAACGTGTCGTCGATTCGGGGGAGTGGGTAGACGTCTTTCTTTGTCACGGCATTCAGCTGCCGGTAGTCCACGCAGATACAATGCCGCGCGCGCAGCTGGCCAAGCAGGCAGCGCGCGCGTGGCCTAACGGTTATCGCGCTTGCTTCCCACGCTGAAAGCCAGGGTTCGATTCCTGGCCGCGGAGGCGCATTTTTGTTGACACTGTAATGTAAGGTTCTGGTGAATTCGAGAACCGTCTTGCTGATTCGAGGTTAGAATGTTCCACGCGCCGAACCTTCTACGCCGAACGATCCAGAAACCCACGAGGGTACATGGGATTCCGAAAGGCGAGCGGAGTCAGTCTAGCCCCAGCGTTCGACTCTGCTACCACGCCGACTTCGACGCCCGCGACGCTCTATTATTATCTTTTGTACTCTTTTATTTTTGGCACAAGTTCGCCACATTAAACGTTTATTTCTTCCTGTTTATTTGTTATTTTTGGTCACCACCCGTGACATTTTGGTGGAGGTGCGGGGTGCCCGCATGCCCGTGCAGCGCTCCCCTCCGAGTTCTCGCGGTGCAAGTCCGGACCCAGCCTCCCGAGGACCGAGCGAAGACCAGATCGAGACCCGATCCAGTCGCCGCACCCAGGGTCTACCCCCGGAGCACGGACTTCTGCCACCCCGGACCAGACAGCCAACGAGGCCGACGATGGACAACCAGTCGTCGCAGAACCCGTCCGCCGCCGCCGTCGTATACCTTCCCGTCGCACCCCGGACTCCGACGCCATTCCACGGGGAGGTCCACGAGGACGTTGAAGATTGGCTACAGCATTACGAACGAGTGGCCCGCCATAACCAGTGGACACCAGAGCAGTGCCTTCAGAACGTCTACTTCGCTCTGGAAGGCACGGCGCGCACCTGGTTCGAGAACCACGAAGCGTCGATTTCGACGTGGGAAGAGTTCCAGGCCGAGCTGCGACGCACCTTTGCCAACCAGCAGCGACGACAGCGTGCCGAGGAACTCCTTCAAGCAAGACACCAAGGGCCAAACGAGAGCGTGACCAGCTTCGTCGAAGACGTTCTCCGCCTCATGAACCGCGCCGACCCCAACGCTCCCGAAGAGAAAACGTTGCGGGTTCTAATGCGCGGCGTCAAAGAAAACATCTTCGGGGGCCTCGTGCGGAGCCCGCCTACGACTGTCCAGGGTTTCATTACTGAGGCCACCAACATCGAACGTGCCCTTCACGCACGGGCCTCACACTACCAGAGACTTCCCGGCTTCGCTGCCCTCTCGCCGTCCAGCTGCAGCATCCCGGACATCCGCGACATCATCCGGGACGTCGTCCGGGAGGAACTCAGGAAGCAGCTGCCTGCTTGGCCAGCTGCGCGCGCGGCAATATTAGCAATGTGGCTGCGGCTGTAGGATTCACGTATTTGTCAAGTTGCACTATGTAGTTTTTTTTCCTCGTATTTGCTTCCAGAACTCTGGAGCCAATAAATTATACTGAATTGAAAAAAGAAAACACTGGCAGCAACAATTCTGCGAGAACTCAGAGCTCCACTGGAATTAGGCGGATAATACTCCGGTGCTCTTTCATCAGAAACTTCACATGGCTACTTATCGCTGGTTGTAACAAGTGCCAAGAACATGACAAATTATGCCTAGGTTCATGTGTATTAATGATAACAATATTCTATTCGACGCCATTACTATTGTTGTTGTTGCTGTGGAAAAAAAAAAGTCATACATCTCTGTTCTTTGTCTGTCGTATTCTAAGCCGGGAATAAAAGTCTCGATAACTCTTCTCTTGAATTCGTAGGCAGCTTTTCTTTATAATTTATGTTGCTTAAAATCCAATTACCAGACGAATCTGCTTTTGTTTAGCACACGCAGATTCGGTGTTGCGAAAAACAAGGGGTGGTACTGTTCGAGACGGGGACACATACACATAAGTACTGCTAGATTGCATTTAAGATTTAAGGGATATCATGCATCCTGCATGAATGATTAAACTTCTTTCCGAATTTTAGTTACTTTTAAGTTATATACCCTATACCTAAGGGAAACTCGCACAAAATTAGAAATGTATAAAAGATTTTCAACATGTGTGTATTTTTTGA